CAACAAAACAAAACAATAGAATATGATCAAATATGATCAGGCTGGTGCATAGATCAGTGCCACACACTAGATTTTGGGTGTATTTTGGTCTGTTAGAAGAAAGTGCCTCCCAAAATTTTAAAGAAAGAAAAACTTATATATGTACAAAAATAAGGACTGATACGATGAAGGGATGGAATATGCCTGTAAACATGAAAATTATAAAAGATTTTATAAAAGGAATTGATAAGAAGTTGTTTGAAAAAAGAAGAGGATTTAAAAAGAAAAAAGAAAGAGGAGAGAATGTGATCAGGCAGGAGACTAGAACAAAGCCATACACTAGAGATTTAGGATATATTTTGATGTTAGAAGAAACCATATCTCAAAATTTTAAAGAGAGAACAACTTATATATATGCCAAAAATAAGCGTAACTACTATGAAGGGATAGAATATGACTCTAAAAATGAAAAATAAAAATGTTTTTTAAAAAAGGGATTGATAAGATGTTGATTGAAAAAGGGATAAAGAAAAATTCAAAAAAAAAAAGTTAAAAAAATTAAATTTGAAAGACTAAAGAATCATGGTAAAAAAAGCCATGAATTCTATGTGCAGTATTCCCCTAGCGCTGGAGTTCTGCCGTTCTCATTGTTCGGTAAACTTGATCTTGGCTGGCTATTCTTGCTGATCTTCTGGGGGAGGGTCCTGTTGCCGTGGTTCCCAAATGTCTTTGTCGGAGGCGGAAGTGCCCCGCCCTTGTCGGTCCGGGCTAAGCAATCTGCTCAGGTTTGCTCTCGGGAGCTTTTGTTCCCTGGAAGCTCTTGGTACAGCTTTGGAGGACCAGAGTGAAAATGGCGGCCTCCCAATCTCCGCTCTGGAGGACCCAAGAACTCGGGGCCCCGCTCCTCAGTGCGCCCCTGGAGAAAAGCAGTCACTCACTCCCATCTCCCCGGTCTCCGGCCACACTCCGTGCTCACCCGGCCTGTGACCGAGTGTTTCTATCTCTGGCACCTGACCCGGTGTGGAGTCTCCAAACCCAGCAGATCCCTGCGGTGTGCTCCCACACCGCTCCTCCCCGGGGAGGAAGGGGAGTCTCCCCCGATCTGCCACTTGTTGGTTCCCTGCTGGAGGAGCAGTGGCCCGACTATGCCGTGGATCACAGTTTATGGCAACCCCAAGCTGAGAGCCCGCGCCTCGGCTCTGTCTCTGCAGCTGGCTTCCCCGCTTCGATACCTGGGAGCTTTGCCACACTCAGGCACCCCTGGTCTTTCTGTGACCCCCAAGGGTCCTGAGACCACACTGTCCCACAAGGGTTCCATCCCCCGCTTAGCCACTGGAGCGACGTCCCTCAGCAGAGCGGACTTCTAAAAGTTCCGATTTTGTGCTCCGCGGCTCTATCACTTGCCAGAAGCAGCCCACGGAGGCCCCCTCCCCCGCCATCTCTCTCCAGAATATCACCTCGGATTCACTTCTCTGCACGTCCTACCTTCCAGAAAGTGGTCGCTTTTCTGTTCAGCAAGTTGCTGCTCTTCTTTTCTTCAATCTCCTGTTGAGTTCGTAGGTGTTCAGAATGGTTTGATCCCTATCCAGCTGAATTCCTGGGACCAGACGAAATCCAGGTCTCCTACTCCTCTGCCATCTTGCTCCGCCCCCACCCTATCGCCATTATTTTAAATGAGGAAATGAAGTCCAGAAAGGCAAAGTAAATCGTCCAAAGTTCTTTCTGTAGTCTGCACTGGAACTGGGTTACTGCAATCCACACAGCCCATGATCTTTCAATGATGCCACATATCCTTGGGTGAGAATCCTGCCTGGAAAGGGTTCAATTTTTCCACGAGGGCTAAAATACTGCAGTAACAAATGACTCCAAAATTCCTATGCTTTAATGCTTAAAAGTTTATTATTCTCTCACATCAAGCCCAGGAGGTGGAGTGGGGTTTTTGCCGAGAACACCCCACCCACCAAAGTGGAGGAAGAAGAAGCCTGGAGCATCATGCAGGGCTCTTCATGGCCTCAGCCCAGGAGCCCTGCCTCACTTCCTCTCACACCTCATTGGCCAGATGCAGTCACGTGACCCGCCCACAAACGGCAGATGGCTGAGGCCAAGTGTAGCCTCCAGGATGCTGAGCAGGCAAAGGAGAGCTGGGCTTAGTGAGCACTGATAATGACTCCCACAGAGCCTTTGCTGAAAAGACCGTGACTGAAAAGATCTTTTTGGGGAGTAACCCGGAGATGATACTGAGTAAAATGTGGGCCAAGGGGGAACATTTACCCGTTCATCTAATGGGATTGCAGGGTACTAGGGCTAGGTTCTGGGATTCAGGGATAAGAGTTGGAGCCCCTGTCCTCTGTGAGCTCATGGTCACTGTATGTAATCATTGTACTACCATTTCATGCACTACAGGAGCCCAGTGGGGACCTAAATGAGGGAAGCTGGGGTGGCCTCAAGGAGGAGGTAACAGTAAAACAAATGATAGTTGAAGGAGGCAAGGATTAAGCTCTCTGTAGGCTAGGGATCACATTACAGGGACCTTATGTGGGTCAGTGTCATCACTACTACTCATGGGACACCCACCTCCTTTTAGAGTCCAGGCACAGAACAGGGAACTCTTAAAAAGACAACCAAGCCAGATCAGGGAAAAGTTAATATGGATGGATTTTTTCCTTAAACTCATAATAACATACTCAGTCTCCTTCATGGCAAGAGAAATGCAAATTGAAACTACACTAAGGTAGCATTTATCACCTATCAGACTGGCAAAAATCCCAAACGACAGCATATTCTGTTGAGGTTTTGAGAAAAGAGGCATTCCCATACACTAGAAGAGGGAGTGTATATTGATATCATTCCTAGCAATGGGGAATTGGGCAACATTTGTCAAAATTTAAAGTGCATATACTCTTGGACCTAACCATTTCACATGGAGGGATTTATCCAATAGATATATGTTTGCGCACATATGAAATGTGTACAAGATTATTCATTCTCACATTATTAGTAAAAGATTGGAAATGATCCACATGTCCATAAGAAACTGGTTAAATAAATTATAATTTTATACACAGTAGAATATTATACAGTGGTAAAAAAGAGGAAGCTTATGATGTACTAACACAAAACAGTCTCCAGGATATGAGCTAAGTAAAACAATTAAAGTACAATAAAGTATGTAAAAAGCTACCATCGGTGAAAGAAAGGAGAAAAAAGGAAATCTGTATTCATAAGAATGCTGAAGTATAACTTTCAGGATAGGCTAGGTAATGCTGCAGTAACAAGTGACTAAAACATTTCAGTGGTTTATACAACTTTTTTTTTATTGTCCACACCCAGTGTCCATTATATATTGGCTTTGGCTCTGATCCACATACCACCCCCACTGTGAGACCCAGGCTGATGGACCAGGCCCTAAGGGAACCTGGCAGGTTTCATGGCAGAGGGAAAGGGACATGGCAAAGCAGGAACTGGCTGTGAAGTCTTCCACATGAGTGTGAACCCGATAATACTTCTGCCCACCTTTCATTGGCCAAGCAAGCCACAGGAGCACTACTGAATACAACAGGGCAAAAAAAAAATGTGCATCTTGCAGAGAAGGGTTCCCTACGTCACATAGTCAAGCCTATGGACAATAGGGCAGGCATGTATAAGCCTCCCACTGGGAGGGGAAGCAACTAATAATGGACAATAATGCAAGCTGGCACTAAGAAATTAATATAACAGTGACCACTTGTGGGACGGGATATTGGAAACTGGGTAGATAGGAATAAGATGGACACTTTCACTTAATACATATGTATGTTTGAATTATGTCAATATATTATCCAAAGAAAAACGTTGCCGAGTAGCTACATAAAAATATATCCAGATCCGGGGCACCTGGCTTGCTCAGTTGGAAGAGCACGCAACTCTTGACTCATTTGGGGTTGTGAGTTCGAGTCCCACATTGAGTATAGAGATTACTTAAAAATAAATAGATAAAAATATATCCGGATCTCCTTTTCCTGTGACGTGAACTTTGGACACATCATCCAAATGCGCTGATAAGCTCCTGACATCTTACTGATAATGATTCCTGCTCAGAGGCATGTGAAGGTCAGCAAACGGGACCCGTCCCATGGCAGTTCTCCATGCTCGATGCCAGGAAGAATAACTGCGGGGGCTTCGCAGGGAGAAGCCGGAGTCTGTATCTGGTTTATCTGGTTTGACAACTCAAGTGACTGGGTGGAGAGCATCGTAGCCCCCAGACCTTCACCAAGTGTGGGATATGGGGGACTCTGAGATTAATAAACAGATAATAGGCCCGGGACAGTTGGCATGAGTGGACACAGCAAGTGAGCCAAACTCCTGGGAAAGCAGAGTAGAGCCCCGGGGAAGCAAGACCAGGAATGAGATCTAAGAGAGAAGGAGAGCCATTAACTGAAAAATGAGCTGTAAGGTTGGAAGCATGGATCAGGAACGGAAGCACAGGGTGAACTGAGGAGCAGTTTAAGGCCAAAGACCAGACCAGTGAAAGGAGCCAAAGCGCCCCGTTTCTAGGCAGCCAGCTAACGGGGCAGGCTGTCCAAGGGCTGAAAGGATGCTCAGGACCCCACAGCGGCACGGGGCAGGGGCCACCCTACCACGGGCTAGACCACAAGAACCCTGTGATGGGGATTCAGAATCCCATCCTGTGGCTCAAGAGTTTCAAACCCCCGGGGATCTTACAGGGGCAGCCTGGAAGCCCCCCAGGGGTAGCAGGGATTGTTTGAGGGGTTAAAACAGTCATCAGAGGCTCTGGGTGTTATATGCAACTAAAGAATCATTGAACACTGTATCGAAAAACTAATGATGTACTATATGGTGGCTAACTGAACATAATCCAAAAAAGAGAGTGTAAAAAAGTAAATAAAACTGTCATCCGTGTGCATGGCTGCTACACTTGCAGACGCTCTGGAGACACTGGGCCTTCGTGGCCTGTCCATGGAGATGGTGGGCTCCACTGTTGATCACTGTCCCCCATGCCACCACCCCGTTTCCTCCTCCAGTACCACTTCAACCCTTCACAGTCCGTCCTGGTGATGGAAGGTGACGACATTGGGAACATCAATCGCGCCCTCCAGAAGGTGTCCTACATCAACTCCAGGCAGTTCCCGACGGCGGGTGTGCGGCGCCTGAGAGTCTCTTCCAAAGTCCAGTGAGTAGACAGACGCTGGTCAGCCAGGGGCCCCAGCTGAGGCGGTGGGGACGGTCCCTGGGGAATGTTCCCTGGCAAAACAGAATTCATCTTTTGTCCACTATTTGCAGTTTCTCTGCTATCCTGATGAGGATGCCCCAGTGGATCTGTGTTCTCTTCTTGTTGTCTTCAGAAAGAAAATGTTCCGTTGCTTTGCCAGCGCAAATTCAGCTTTCTCTATTTAATTCAGAATCCAGTGTGGTACTGCACCCTATAAATTCTCAGAAAGCTCGGTTTTTAGTGGTCTGACTTAAGGTTACAGAAGCTGGTACATAGTAGGTACTTGACAAACGTTTATTAAATTGGATTACATCAACCAACCCAGCTTTGTAGAGCAACTAAATACCACAAATATGCAAGAGAAAGGGAGTTCTTGTCCCCAGGGGATCAGAGTTCAGTAAAGGAGATGAGACTCTTTACTAGTGAAGCCTGTGGATAATTCCCTTCTTGGTCCATCAGATCGTTTCTCAGCCACAGCAACTGCCTGGTAGGGCAGCAAGGATGGGACCCCAGAAAAACTCCTGGCAGGCAGAAGGGGAGTCACCTAGTCCCTGGAGCCGGGAGAAGCCAGAGGACAGGAACAAGGCTAGGAAAGACGGGTCTGCTGACGGCCACGTTACTGGGGCAGGGACAGGTGCCAGGCTAAACCCCACAGGCAGCAATCATATTCAGTAGTTCTAGTGACAAAGGAGGCACGCCCCCCTTTACACTAAGGGCCACCCTTGGAGGCCTGCCATAGGGAGCAAGCACCTCCAGCTCAGCTCCGCGCTGCAGTCAAAGAGAGGGACAGGGCTTCCATAAACTGACAAGCGGCACAGTGCCCTTGGGGACTGGTGCAGCGAAGACCAGACAAAACCAGGGGCAGGAACACACCACTGCTCCCACAACTTGCCCACCCCAAAGAAGAGGGAGTTCCCCAGCATGGTGTCCACCCAGACTGCGCTTCCCTCAGGAACTTTCCCAAGGGCTACAAGTTGACAGCCGCCACCAGCTGGAGTCCACCCAGCGTTCCCAGAGCGGCCATCTGGGCCCTGGCGCTCTTTGTAGCCTAGGGCTTTGGCCCAGATGAGCAGCAGAGAGTGCCAGTGACTCGCATGCCTGATGCAATCTGATGAGGGTGTCAGGTCTGCCAACATTTACTGAGCTCCACCCACGACGTAGCCTCTGGCATCGGCTTCTTTTCTATATGTCAGCACATTTAATCCTTGCTATTATGAGGTAATTAATTCTTGTCATCCCCCCTGTATAGATGGAGAAACTGAGGTTCCCAGGAGTCACATCTTGCCCAGGGTCACCCAGCCTCACAGTGGCAGAGCCAGGCCATGGACCTTGTCTAACTTCCCAGGCCTTGCTCATGCAGTCACAGCATTCTGCCTTCCAGGGATTTCTGTGGCAGTGTATCAGGAGAAAGGAGATGATCCGTGGCACATCTACAACAGGGGCACTGTGGGAGCTCCTCGTAGAGAGACAACATGCGTGAGCACAAGAGAGTTCCGCCCTGGGGTCTCAGCAAGATGCCTGTACCCAACCAGTTAGACGGCAATTTGCTTACCAAATCCTGGTGCACATACCAAGCAGTGGCTAATTAATGTTACCACTGATTACTTTGTTATAAAGGATAATTAAGGGTTTAGCAGTTACTTGTTGCTGGGACCGAAGATTCCCAGTTCTCCCAGAAGCCAATCCTCTTAAGTCCCTAGATGGCTATTAGTTTTGACTATCATGTGGCTTTCAATCTGAATGTCTGTTGATACCCTCTGAGACTCCGAGGCAGTCCAGAGACCTTGGCAAGGACGAGAGGTGGTTGTGTGTCTCCTCGTCCCCGGCCACGTGGTGGATGCGTTCATGGCTCGCTCTTCAGTGCCGTGACCACAGCTGTTTTCCCAGGTGCTTCGGAGAAGATGTGTGCATCAGCGTCCCCGACATGGATGCCTATGTGATGGTGCTGCAGGCCATTGAGCCCCAGATCAGCCTCCGGGGCACGGACCACCTCTGGAGACCCACCACCCAGTTTGAAAGTGCCCGAGGGGTGACCCTCTTCCCGGACCTCAAGATCGTGAGCACCTTTGCCAAAGCCGAGGCCCCGGGGGACCTGAGGACCACAGGTACAGATGCACACTGGGTCATGGGGCGGGAGCCTTCTACTCTCAGAGCCATGCCAAGTCCTACTTCAGGCCAATAGCATTGTTCACCACGGCAGGGAATTTCTGATAGCAAAGCAAACAAACCTGCAAACAACACAAGTAACAGGAGGGAAATGAACTATTTGGCAAATAACCGGTCCACGCATGTACGTGATAGGATGTTGGAGGGAGGACATTTATGCCAAATGGTAAATGAAAGAAAGCAAGATGCAAATTACAGAGTACCTACAACACACACCGAAAAATGCCAAGAAGAAAACACACCTGATGCAAACAGTGCTGTTCTCTGAGACGCCTATGAGCCAATTTGTCTCCACTCCCCTTCACTTGGCTGCAAATGCAAAATGTTCAATAGTGAGCATGTATTATTTTGATGATCGGAAGAAAAGCTAAAGAGGCACAAAGAAAACATTTAGCTGCACCTTAACAGATTCACAGTGAAAGTCAGGTCTGATCCAGCAGCATTAGTCTCAGCTCTCAGGGAACTCTCCAACATGTCCATTATTGGGCGGGCTACTGATGGAGGCGGAGTAATTGGAATGATCTGCCCGGGAGAAACACTCCGTTGCACGGAAAGCTATGGTGCACTCAGCTGGCGGGGAGGGGGTGGTGACAGGAAGGATAGGGAAGGGAGAAAGGGAAACCCAGGGCCCAGATCTACAGGGGAAGTACCCATTTAACCATCCTCTGCGGCCTCCTCCAGGAGAGGACTTCTGGCTCTCCCTCTCTGCCTCCAAAGCAGCTGCTAATGATGTGCTGGAGCCCATGGGCCTGAGTCCCTGAAGGGCTGCTCCTCTAACAGTCCTAATTACTCACTGCCTTAAACCACCCTAGTCCCTTGGGAATGGGGTGCCTTCAGTGCAGCTCTTCTTAGCTCATGACAATAGCTGGCGTCTTCCAAGTGCCCCTGCCAGGACAGGGCCCTTGCCTAGTGACACTCCCAGGTGCATTAGGGCCTGTGAGCTTTCCCTTCCCCTCATTTGGAGCCACAATCAGATGGGAAAAGGAAGGGCCTCTGACCACGGTGGTTGCCAGGCTATAACTGGGAGCGTGTGGACGTGCTAGGCCTGCCCCTGGCTGACAGGCAATGCCAGGGAAAAGCAATTACCTGGGGCTCTAACTCACCTTCTGTTTATGAGAGGTGCGGGCAGAGCACAGAGCCACGTGCCCGAGAGCTCTTATGGGTACTTTCTACATCTTCCTCTTATTGTTGTTAGGATAATCGTTGTTATGGATGCCTTAAGTAAGGAGGCTCATGGTATTTGCCAGCAGGCCTCAGTGACCCACCCCAGCAACATCTTCTGCCCCTACTGACCTCCTCCTCTTTGTGCTGTTTCAGTACCAAAGACAGGCAAGTCCCCCATGTACGCCCCTCTCTCTCACACCTCTGCGTTCTCACCTTTGCTCATGCCCCACCCTCTGCCTGGTAGGTCCCTGCCCTCCCCATCCGCGTTACTGCTGGCAAACATCTCCCCCGCCAGCACCCTGCCCCCTCGACTGGGCTAGCTCTCCTGCTCTGTACGCCCCCCATGACTGATGCTTCCCTGCCCACCCCCCCCCCCCCCCCCCGCCACGTTTGCTAGCCCTCGGTGGCAGTTATCGGTTAATGAAGCCAGACCAGGGGCTCCATGAGCGCTCAACCACGGCTGATTCGCCTCTAAATACCTGAGCCCAGCACAGTCCCTTCAGCACAGTGGGAATCAAGAGAAGTACAGATGGAAGATAGAACCTGTAATGTATCCACAGAAGAACAATGAGAAAATGCTCAACATTTATACCATGCCCCCTACCTAGTGTGAGCAATCAGCCGGCCACATGGGGAGGTAGGAGTAAGGATGACCTAAACTGACCTGGTAAGAAGCTGGCAAAAAACTCCAGAAACCATGCAAAGGCCATTTGAAATACAGATACACATATGCTATCGCTAATGATAGGCCTTCAATGTATATTAATGTGATTTTAGATTTTGCCGGTGAAACATGAAGCCACTGAGAATGACAAGCATCGAAAAAGCATATGAAATTATTTATAATAATGTAGATCTGGTGAGAGCAAAAAATATTTTTGGTATCACTAAAAAATTAAAATAGAAAATAATTATTTAAAGTAATTCTCTCCTCTTTTGTAAATCCTTTTTAATTTCTATTTTCATAAATGCTTTATAGTATACAAAATATATTAGTCCACTTTATAAATAAATAATTATACATATTTAAATGATCTCGGTTCAGAAATTTTTCCCAAAAGGGCTGCAAAATCAAAAGCATTTGAAGACTACTAGCCCAAAGGTTATGAATTTATAAACTGTGGAATCAGAAAGTCATGGCTTCTGTCCCAGCTCTTCCCCTAATATCTGTGTAAGCCTGGGCAATCTGCCCTACCCCCCAGACCGTCCACTTCACCGTGGGTGAAATGGGGATAATAGTACCCCATTTAATATCTATCTGTTAGGATTGTTTGCACAGTGCCTGGCCCATAGCAAGCACTCCATAAATACCACTTTTATTATTTTCTTAAATCCAGTATAGTTAACATGCAGTGTTATATTAGTTTTGGGTGTACAATATAGTGATTCAACAGTTCTGTACATCATCCAGTGCTCATCACAAGTGCACTCCTTAATCTCCTTCACCTATTTCACCCATTCATCCCCCACCCACTTCCCCTCTGATAACCATCAGTTTGTTCGCTAGAGTTAAGGGTCTGTTTTTTTATTTGTCTCTTTTCTTCTTTGTTCATTTGTTTCTTAAATTCCACATGTAAGTGAAATCATATAGTATTTGTCTGACTTACTGCATTTCAAGATTCATCCATGTTGTTGCAAATGACAAGATTTCATTCTTTTTTATGGCTGAATAATATTACACACACACACACACACCACTTCTTCTTTATCCATTCATCTGTCGATGGACACTTGGGCTGCTTCCATAATTTGGCTATTGTAAATACTGCAATAAAAGTAGGGGTGCATAGGTCTTTTCAAATTAGTGTTTATGCATTCTTTGGGTAAATACCCAGCAGTGGAATTACTGGATCATATGGTGGTTCTATTTTTCATTTTTTGAGGAACCTCCATACTGTTCTCCACAGTGGCTGCACCAGTTTGCATTCCCACCAATAGTGCATGAGGATTCCTTTTTCTCCACATCCTCGTCACTTGTTGTTTCTTGTGTTTTTTATTTTAGCCATTCTGACAGGTGTAAACTGATGTCTCATTGTGGTTTTGATTTACATTTTCCTGATGATGAGTGATGTTGAGCATCTTTTCATGTGTCTGTCAGCCATCTGTGTATCTTCTTTGAAAAATGTCTGTTCGTGTCTTCTGACCTTTTATTGGATTATTTCTTTTGGGGGTGTTGTATAAGTTCTTTATATATTTTGGATACTAATCTTTTATCAGATATGTCATATGCAAATATCTTCTCCCTTTCAGTAGGTTATTTGTAGTTTTGATTATTGCTTCCTTAGCTGTGCAAAAGCTTTTTATTTTGATGTAGTCCCAGTGGTTTATTTTTGCTTTTCTTTCCCTTGCCTCAGGAGACATATCTAGAAAAACATTGGTATGGCCAATGTCAGAGAAATTACTGCATGCACTCTCTTCTAGGATTTTTATGGTTTCTGGTCTCTCAGGTCTTTAATCCACGTTGAGTTTATTTTTGTGTATGGTGTAAGAAAGTGGTCCAGTTTCATCCTTTTACATGTAGCCGACCAGTTTTCCCAACATTTGTTGAAGAGACTGTCATTTTCCCATTGTACAGTCTTGTCTCCTTTGTTATAGATTAATTGACTTTTCTGGGCTCTCTACTCTGTTCTATGTGTCTTTTTCTGTGCCAGTACCATACTGTTTAGATAACCACAGCTCTGTAGAACATCTTCAAATCTGGGATTGTGATGCCTCCAGTTTTGTCTTCCTTTTTCAAGATTGCTTTGACTATTTGGAGTCTTCTTTGATTCCATACAAATATTAGGATTGTTGTTATAGTTCTGTGAAAAATGCTGTCAGTGTTTTGATAGGGATTGCATTAAATCTGTAGATTGCTTTGGGTAGTATGGACATTTTAACAATATTTGTTATTCTAATCCATGAGCATGGAATATCTTCCCTTTTGTGTCACCTTCAGTTTCTTTCATCAATGTTTTATAGTTTACAAGAGTACAGGTCTTTTACCTCCTTGGTTAAGTTTATTCCCAGGTATTTTATTATTTTTGATGCAATTGTAAATAGAATTGTTTTCTTTTTAAAGATTTTATTTAAAGAGTGCAAATGAGAGAGAGAAAGAGCACACATGGGTGGTGGGGGGAGAGGGGCAGGGGGAGAGGGGTCAGCAGATGCCCCACTGAGTGGGGAGCCTGATGCAGGGCTCAATCCCAGGACCCTGGGATCATGACCTGAGCTGAAGGTAGACACTTAACCAACTGAGCCACCCAGGTGCCCCAAATGAGATTGTTTTCTTAATTTCTTTTTTCTGCTGTTTTGTTATTAGTGTATAGAAATGCAACAGATTTCTGTATACTGATTTTGTATCCTGCGACCATACTGAATTAGCAGTTCTGGTAGTTTTTTGGTGGAGTCTGTAGGATTTTCTAGGCATAGTATCATGTCAGCTGCAAATAGTCAAAGTTTTACTTCTTCCTTACCAACTTGGATGCCTTTTATTTCTTTTTCTTGTGTGATTGCTCTGGCTAAGACTTCCAGTACTATGTTTAATAAAAGTGGTAAGAGTGGATATTCTTGTCTTATTCCCAATCCTAGTGAAAAGCTCTGTTTTTCACCAATGAGTATGATATACCTGTGGGTTTTTCCTATATGGCCTTTATTATGTTGAGGTATCTTCCCTCTAACCCTACTTTCTTGAGGGTTTTTATCATGAATGGATGTTGTACTTTGTCAAATGCTTTTTCTGCATCTATTGAAATGATCATACAGTTTTCATCCTTTTCTCTTGTTGATGTGATGT